CGCGCACACGCGCACACGCGCACATGCGCACACGCACGCACGCGCACACGCGCACACGCGCACGCACGCACGCACGCACGCACGCACGCGCACGCACACACGCACGCGCGCACACGCGCACACGCGCACACGCGCACACGCGCACACGCGCACGCACGCACGCACGCACGCACGCACGCGCACGCGCACACGCACGCGCGCACACGCGCACACGCGCACATGCGCACACGCACGCACGCGCACACGCGCACACGCGCACGCACGCACGCACGCACGCACGCACGCGCACGCACACACGCACGCGCGCACACGCGCACACGCGCACACGCGCACACGCGCACACGCGCACGCACGCACGCACGCACGCACGCACGCGCACGCGCACACGCACGCGCGCACACGCGCACACGCGCACATGCGCACACGCACGCACGCGCACACGCGCACACGCGCACGCACGCACGCACGCACGCACGCACGCACGCACGCACACACGCACGCGCGCACGCGCGCACGCGCGCACACGCGCACACGCGCACACGCGCACACGCGCACACGCGCACACGCGCACACGCGCACACGCACACACACACACACACACACACACACACTTGTGGCGTTCCGCGCGGAGTTCTTGGATCCGCGCTGGACCTCCCCTCCCTGGCGCGCGGAGCGAGCGCGCCAGGGGCGGCGCCGGGGGGGCCCAGGTGCGGATCTAAGAAATCTGCGCGGATCGCCGAAGTTTATGATTATGTGGTTTTAGCGTCTTCGATAATCTCCCCTCCTCCCTCCCTTGTCGTCGCCCCCCTCTCTTGGCCGCCCCCCACTTGGTAGATCATCTGCCCCCCCCCCCCCCGCATCGCCTCCCCCTCGGCCCCCGGTCATCGCCCCTCCCCGCGCCAGGATCTCCCGTCCGCCCCCGCCACGATCTCCCCTCCGACATCGCCCCCCCCCTCCGCCCGCCATGATCTCCCCCCCCCCTCCGGACATCGCCCCCCTCTTGGCCGCCCCCGCCCCGAGCAGAGAGCCCCTCCGAGGGCACGGCGGGGGGAAGCGGCGCCTTGTCGGCGCGCAGGTAGTCGTTCGACGCCGCGGTCGCAGGATCCTCGCGCCGCCGGGCCGAGAGGGCATCCTCCGCCAGCTGCAGGGAGGAGGCACCCACGCCCAGCGCCTGGAGGCGTGCCCTCCGACCTCCTCCCCAGACACCCGGCGGCGCCAGAGGCCGAGACGGCGCTCCCTCTCGCGATTGCGAGGCACTCCGGGAGCCAGCTTCGGGCCCCAGCACCGCCAAGGAGAACGACTCGGGACGGGATGCTGGCACTGCACGGCTTCCCCTGGGGCCGTGGGCGACCCGAGGAGGAGGAGGAGGAGGAGGAGGAGGAGGAGGAGGAGGAGGAGGAGGAGGAAGAGGAGGAGGAGGAGGAGGAGGAGGAGGAGGAAAAGGAGGAGGAGGAGGAGGAGGAGGAGGAGGAGGAGGAGCCCAACGCCCGGGGGCGAGAGGGCGACCGGCGCACCGCGACCTGGCGGCCCGCGCTTCCCCCCCCCGCGGCGCGTGCGCGCGGGGCCTCCTCCCGTGGGAGGCGGCGGCCCGCGGCCCCGCGGCGCGTGGCGCACGCTGCTCCTTCCCAGACGGCCGCCTGCTCGACTGCGGAGGCCTTGCTCTGGGCGACCCAATCGGGGATGGACAGGCCTCCCTTTAGCAAAACGTGGCTTGGTGAAAACGACCCGAGGCCCGAACCTGGCGGGCGCAAGCCTGGAAAATGACGGCCGCGGCGCCCTCTCGAGAACCGAAAACGGGCAATTCACTAATCGACGTGCCACTGTTGGGGGTTCTGTCCAGCCCCGACCCAAAAGGGGGTCCAGCTGCAAGGGGGTGGTGCAATAGATTTGGGACAAGTGTACTGCAAACGTCCTGCGCTGGAGAACTGTGTTGCACTGCGTTGCAACTCGTGTATTGCACGCGACAACCCAGCACTACGTTTGCGCCCCGGAATGTACTGCACGCCCCAAATGTATTGCAACCCCACAAATCTATTGCACCAGATCTATTGCACCACCCTTGTCGCTGGACCCCCTTTTGGGTCAACCCGACTTACGGCTGGTGCCGCCGAACCCGAAGGCGTTGACGACGGCGGCGGCGGCGGTGGCGGCGGCGGCGACGACGACGCTGACGTGGGCCTGGGTCCTCAGGGATGTTTCTTGGGGTCTCTTGGGAAGGCTCTCGGGAGCCTCTGGGGGGGAATTTGGGGCCTGTTCGGGTGTCCTGGGGGCCTCCTGTGGGCTTCTTGGGGCCTCTGGGGAACCCCTTGGGGCCTCCTGGGAGCTCCTCAGGGCGGAAGGTTCGACATGTCCGCTCGGGCTCCCCATCGAGGCGCGCTCTTGGAGCCGTCTTGGGGGCCTCTTGGGCCGGTGGCTCGTGTCATCTTGTTCCCAGCGCACTTCAGGACCACCTCCCATAATAATTTCCAGCACCCGGAAGAGTATCGAAACAGTGTCGAACGAGTGTCGCCTCCCAGGGCACGACACGTGAAGCATCTCCAATTTCGGTGCATTATTGGTGTTCGAAATTCGTTCTGGTGATCAAGGCGAAAGCAGGTTGGAACATCATGAGGCTCGTGGCGCGTGCTCATCCCCTGACGTCCGCCTTCTCTCGATCCTGTCGCGACACGGGCCCAGGACCTCTCTCGACCGCTGCCGAGGGACTGGCCTCTCCTCTCGCGTCGTTGCTCGACGGTCCAGAGGCCTGGTGAGGGCCCCAAGAAGGCAGAACACCACGAAACAGCTCAGCCTCTGATATCAGAGCGAGGGGGCCGAACGGTCATTCACTGTCCCTGGGTGCGCGGCTGATGTGGAATTCCGCGGTGCGGATTATTGTTGTTGTTGTTGTTGTTGGTTGTTGTTGTTGTTGCTGCTGCTGTTGTTGTTGGTGTTGTTGTTGTTGTTGTTGTTGTTGTTGTTGTTGTTGTTGTTGTTGTTGTTGTTGTTGTTGTTGTTTGTTGTCGTCGTCCCACCCGCAACCCGACCCACCCGCGACCCACCCCGCGACCCACCCCGCGACCCACCCGCGACCCACCCGCGACCCACCCGCGACCCACCCGCGACCCACCCCGCGACCCACCCCGCGACCCACCCGCGACCCACCCGCGACCCACCCGCGACCCACCCGCGACCCCGCGACCCACCCGCGACCCACCCGCGACCCACCCGCGACCCACCCGCGACCCGCCCGCGACCTACCCCGCGACCCACCCGCGACCCACCTTCGACCCAAACCACTTTCAAAGTACAAACCACAATTTTCGGCGCCTGCGGCGGGTATTTTTGCATTCCTTCCAAGTGGAGAGCCCGCGACACATCCCGTGACCAACTCGCGACCCAAACCACGTTCAGGGTACAAACCACATTTTTCGGCGCCTGCGGCGGGCATATTTTGCATTCGTTTCAGGTGGAGAGCCCGCGGCCCACCCGCGACCACGTTCAGGGTACAAACCACATTTTCGGCGCCTGCGGCGGGCATCCTTTGCATTCGTTCCCTGTGGAGAACCCGCGGCCCACCCGCGACCCAAACCTCGTTCCGTGTACGAACCAATTTTTTGGCGCTTGCGGCGGGCTGCTTTTGCATTCCTTCCAGGTGGAGGTGGAGAGCCCGCGACCCACCCGCGACCTAAACCACGTTCACTGAACAAACCAATGCCGCACAAGCGCGGCGGCGGATTCTTGCATGCCGTCTGAGCCCGCAAGGACCTCTTCACGCCCCGCACATCCACGCCAGCCCGTCCAGCAACTTTGCCCTGGCGAGTTGCCTTGATCAGAGAAGGCGGGGAGCATAAAGTGGAAAAAAGGATTGCGTTGCAGTTATCTTGGGAAAGGAGGGGGAGGCAGGATGAGTAAACAGGGGACGAGGAGAACGTGGAAGAAGAGAGGATGTAAGGAGAACGTGGAGAAAGAAAAGGAGGAGGAGCAGGAGGACGAGGGGGAGGAGGGGGAGGAGGAGGACGAGGAGGAGGGGGAGGATGATGATGATGGACGACAATGGGAGGACGATGATGGAGGCCGATGAGGGGGAGGACGACAATGGGAGGACCATGATGAAAAGACGAGGGGGGGAGAGGGAGGACGAGGAAGAAGAGGAGGAGGAGGACGAGGTGGAGGAGGAGGATGACGATGACGATGAGGACGAGGAAGAGGAGGAGGAGAAGGAGGAGGAAGAGGAGGAGAAGGAGGAGGAGGAGGAGGAGGTGGAGGAGAGCGCCATCGACAAGGAAGGTGGGGGCCACGAGGTCCGCCGGCTCGACGGCGCCCGCGTCGCCCGCGCCCGCCCCTTCACTCTTATCCGCAATTGCGGGGTGCTACGTTTCGAGACGCCGGATTGTCTGTGTGAGCATCGTCTATCCGATCCCCGTATCCCCAGCGGCGTGGCCTGGGCCCCACTGGCCGATGTACGCCCCTGGATGGGGACATGGGCCGTTTCCTTTGGGTTTCGAGGGGCGTATCCCTAACTGGGGTGGTAATTTGGTGGGGGCCTCGAAAGGAATGTCGGGGATCTTCTGACCTGGGTCAATCCAGACCCGGGTCAGCAGGAAACCAAAAAACTGCAAACTGCAATGGAAGGAACAAAAACCGCAACGCAGGGCTTCGAAAACCCAGGTCAACCAATATGCGCGGCCGCCTCGCGGCCACGAGCGGCTCGCTAACCCGGGTCAGCCACAGGGCGGCTTCGCACGATCCCTGCAGTATCCGGTGCCCTGGCTGACCCCAATTTGCATTGACCCCGTCTTAGTGCATCCGAGGATGAGGATGGGGATGGGTGCCGCTTGAGCGATACTGGCTGTGTCCCTCCCTGTGGCTCGATGATCCGCAAGCGGCCCGCGGGCTCCTGGCCCGGGCTCCTCCCTACGTGTCGCTCGCGTACCGCGCCCCGCCTCGCACACCTCGCCGAGCTCTTCGGCTGGATGGGCTCAGAGGAGTTCGGCGGCAGGGTGGAGCTCGTTGGGCGATCGGAGCAGGATGCAACTCGTGGTGACCTGTGGGCTCGGCTTTTCAAGCACCCTGGGGGGAAGGCCTCCCTGCGGGCCTGTCGTGCGGCTCGTGGGGCCTCTCGGGCCGCCTGGCAGGCTGCTTGGACCTTCCTGGCCCCCTCTGCTTTGTTTTCCTAAATCTATATGGGTATATATGTATATATATATATATAGATAGATAGATAGATAGAAATGTATAAAGCAAACGTACCCCCCACAAATTGTCCCCATATTATTGATTGACGATTTTGAATATTCCTCCTGTAGAGGGACAGGCCCGACTTGACACTACGAGCACCTTCCTGGCTGCCTCGGTTTTCCCTTCTCTTGTGCTCTGGCCGAGCGCGGGCCTCGAGCGGCTTCGGACGACGCCGAGAGAGAGAGAGATCCCTCGGCCGGGCAAAACGACTGGTGCACGCACCGAGGCCTGCTGGCAGCAGCTTAAACGTACCCTTGCGCACGGTCAGCCAGAATGCTGCAGAAGCAGAGACCAGAATATTGCGGGCACGCTGAATGGACTCGGCGTGCCCGGCCAGAACCAACCGAGTATTAACCCGTACCTGATCTTCCGAAACGGGCAAACGCGCTGAACCACGGCGGCCCACCTGGGGGGCTTTCACCACCCTCGAGGCTACCAGCCGCCACCGCCCTTTCCCCAACCACCACCGCCGCCCTTGCCGCCGCCCTTGCCGCCTCCACCGCCACCCCAGCCGCCACCCCCGCCACCGCCATCGCCGCCGCCCGACTTCCAGGGACCAGAGCAAGACGACGCGCAGTACTTTCCCTTGCGGTCGTCCCACTCCAACTCGTAATCAACAGCGTCACCTTCCTCGAGGTACGCGGTACGATCCGCACCGTTCACCTTCCGGTGTACGAACACGTCCTCGCCGCCGTCCTCCGGCGTGATGAAGCCGAAGCCCTTGTCCTCGAAGAACTTCTTGATGGTTCCCTTCGGCATGCTGAAGATCAGGCTGGTAGAGTCTCGGCTCGGTCGGTCCTGGGCAAAGAGGGCTTCAGCCCAAATGACTTGAACCAAAATGGCTATGGAAACTTCCTGGCGCCCTCTTGGGAGATCTCGGGAACATCCGAACCTGCAAACATCGGAAGCATCGCTCGCAAAGAAACCAATTCGACAGGCGCCCCTTGGGCACCCAGATGCCCGTTTATTTCTTTGAGTGAATACCATCTCTACGTACTCGCTTCTCGTCGTCCGAAAAGTCGCCGCTACGCGCTTGCTGCTCTGCTTCGGGAACTCTGGGCCTCTGAATCCGAATCCCGCCAGCCCGCTGAACCATCAGTCCCCGGTCTACCCCCGCTCCCTCGTTCGCGAGAGCTGCACAAGGGGGGCAACGAGTGCGCAAAGACTCCAGCAGGATGACGAGCTTCTTGTCCATGACTCTGCATATGTCCTGCGTCATGGCAGAAATGACTCCCAGGCAACCGACGAGGCCAAACGCATGAGCAGAGATAATGGAACTCATACGAATATCCGCCACCGCGCCTCGAGGCAAGAAGTGGAGTTACCCCCAGACTCTCATGTGTTCTCTATTCTGTACCCAAGACTCTGGGATTATCTATTCTAAAAGCTGGGCCGCCAAATTCTCAAATTTCATGGGCGCTCCCGCGCGTTCCCGGGCCGCCTCGCGTTACCTTTCCAACAGGCCAGGGAGCCCCGAGACGGGCCAAGAGGGCCCTAGAAAGCGCCCAAGAGGGTCCAAGAGGCCTCCAAGACAGCCCAAGGGCGCTCCAAGACGCCCAAGACGTCCCCAAGAGGCCCCCCAAAAAGCCCCACGAGCGCTCCAAGAGGACCCCGAAGAGGGCACAAAGAGGCAACCATCATTGATGTTCCTTGTGTGTTCTATGTTTGTCGCTTTTCGCGTGTTCGGGCTTCCGATGCTCCAAGATGGCCTCAGAGGCCCCCGCGACCGCCCCAAGACGGCCCACGATCCCCGCCCCAAAGCGGCCCAAGAAGCTCCCAAGATCACCCAAGAGGGACCCAAGACGGCCCCAAGACGTGCCCAAGAGGGGGAGCACGAACCGACAATTCCAGCCTTCCCCCCCAAGAGGCCCGCCCCCAGGAGGCCCCCAAGAGGCCCCCCAAAAAGGCCCCGCAGAGGCATCAAAACTGCCTCCAAGAGGCTCCCGAGAGGCTTCCCACGATATCCAAACGAACATCCGAGAGGCCTCTAACCCACAACCCAGGCACGGTGGCGGGATGGGCCGAAGGCCACGATCTATCCGCCGCCCCCTGTTGGCTTGCCACAGGGGTGCCCAGCGTACTGAATCCTATCGCTCTTGGTTTTGGCTTTTTTGCCAAGAGAACTCTCCCCTGGGGCGTCAGCCCGTCCCGCCGGCCCTGCGGAAGGTCCGGAAACAACCTCCACGTCCCCAAACAATCCTGCGGAAGGCCCGGAAACAACCTAAACGTCCCCAAACAATCCTCCAAGACGGCTGAAGATGGCTCCAAGATGGCCACGTCGGCCCAAGATGGCCTTCAAGACTGGCCATCGCTCGGACGTCCATTCCCTGCATTTTTTGGTTTCGTGCGTGGCTTTTTCGCCAAATGATCAAGGATGCTCCTCGATGGTCCTCGCCGAAGAAAAAATGCACACGTCCGAGCGATGCCAAGAAGATGGTCCAAGATAGCCTCCAAGACGGCCCAGCGGGTTCCAAGATGCCGCCAAGTCCGCCCACGAGGCCTCCAAGACAGTCGACCCGAGGAGGCCCAAATCATTGCTTCCCTTTTTGGTTGTTGAAAGATTTTGGCATGTGCTTCTTTGGGCCCGACAGCCCACGACAGTCCAAGAGGCCCCAAAGATCGCCCCAAGATAGCTCCAAAGGCCTCCAAGATCGCCCCAGAACGGACCAAGACGCCAAGACCGCCCCACGAGGGTCCCAACAAGACGGCCCTGGAGCACCCCAAGAGGGCCCCAGTCGGCCCAGGGAGGTCCCCTAAACAATTTCCGACGGAGTCAGACGGGCCAGGAGCCCACCAAGACGGCCCAAGATGGCTCTAAGATGGCCTTTGGCGGCCCAAGAGGCCCCCAAGAGGCCTCCAAGACGGCCCAAGAGGCCTCCAAGAGGGCCTGCGGGAAGGCCCAAGGTGCCAAAATCATTGAGTTGCCTAAGGCCTTTGCAAACGTGTGGCATTTGCTTCTGTTCGGCCTTCCGACGGCCCGAGACGGCCCAAGAGCCGCGAACGATCGCCCAAGAGGCCTCCAGGACCTCCTCCTCCTCCTCCTCCTCCTCGACCTCTTCCTCCTCCTCCTCCTCCCCCTCCTCCTCCTCCTCCTCCTCCTCCTCCTCCTCCTCCTCCTCCTCCTCCTCCGGCCCAAGAGACCCCCAAGGCGGCCCCAAGAGGGACGACCCGCACCCCAAGAGGGTGACAAGTCGGCCCAGAGAGGCCCCCCAAGACGGCCTCCGACGGCGTCAAGACGGGCCAGGAATGCCCTGAGACGGCCAAAAGAGGCCCCCGAGAGGCCCCCATAAAGGTTCCCAAGAGGCCCAAGGAGGCCCCCAAGATGCCTCCGAGAGGCTCCCAGGAAGCTCCCAGGAGGCCCCCAGAGTGGCCCCAGAGGCTCCCAATATGCTCCTCCTTCTCCTGCTCCTCCTGGTCTTCCTCGCCATCCTCCCCGAAGGGCTCCCCGAAAGGTTTCCACAACGGTTGGGGGAACACATGGTCCGATAGCTTGGCAGAATTGTTGCCACAACGCTGAGCCACATTGGCGACTTCAAAAGGCAGGGGGCGGCGGTGTTTCGCCGTAGGCGTCTTCGATCAATCTATAATTATATACACATATGTATGTATGTATGTATGTATATATATGTATGTATATATACATACATATATATAGGTGTGTGTAGCGAGAGAGTGATAAAGTGAGAGAGTGAGAAACACACACATACACACACGTACACACACGCATACACATAAACATACACATACACATACACACGGCAGGAAAACGAGCGAGAGAGAGAGAGATAGAGAGAGAAAGGAGAGACCGAGAGAGATAGAGGGGGCGCGCATGGATATACCGGTGTTTGTATGCATGCAGATGCAGGTCGCCCAACGTGTGGATATAAATGTAGAGGAGAGCGTGAGAGAGAGAGAGCAATAAGACAGCATGGACGCACACACAGAGAGGGCATGCAGCTCAAGGCAGAAGGGGGATAAAGAGGTACTGTCGCAAAGTCTGGGGGGGGAGAGATAGGAAGAGGGCCATATAGAACAAACTATTCTTGTCCAGTCAACAGTGCCCTGCCAATGAGGGAGAAAACGAAGGCCAGGCGGCTAGGACTGATCTGCGTGGGCAATCACGGCGGTGACAGCACGGGGCAGACACAGACAGAGGAGCCAGAAGGGACCCGGGGCCCGTGACCGAAGGCACCGAACGCGGGCAGCTGGGCACGGCAAGCGAAAGTCGCCCCAAAGGCGAATTCCAGGCGAAAACGGGACGCTCCAAGCTGCAACATGTTACCAGCCTGGAACAAATCCCTATCCCTATGCTGGGCACCTCCTCATCACGATGCCAATCTTAGGGATTCCCTTATTTTTTGAGGGCGAATCCCTAAGACTGTCATCGCCTTTTGGCGTGTCAATCTTAGGGACAGGGATACGTTCGAGGCTGGTAAACATGCCCAGGGAGCGACCCGAGAAAAACCTGGGGGAACGGGCACGGGGCACTCGCCGAACTGGCAGGCCGACGCCCCAGACCGGCCCTCGGGCTGCCAGGCTCTGCCAAAACCGTGCCTCCCTACGCCACAAGCTGAGCTCGGGGCCTGCGCGGCCACTCCAGCTGTCAGCTGGCCGTGCAAAACAACCCACGACACCACGGGCAGCAGGGCTAGACTCCGCGACGAGATGCCCGGCACGCGCACACGTGGCAAGGCCACGGAGGACACCCTCTGGCGGGCCGATTCGCATGCAGCGGCAGCCCGGCACAGACGGGGGCGTGGACAATCCGAGCCACCACTGGCCCCGCTGCTCACGACGCGGTGGGCGCCAGCATCAATTTGGAGGCGAAACGAGGCGGCGACATGCGAAATCACGGTGCTCTCATCACCCCCTGGTGGCCCACTTTGACTTGGCGAGCGAGGTGCACCACCGAATTCTACAGGTGACAACTCAACATTAACCCCTCTACGCTTCGAGTGCCTGCCACGCAACATGAGGCACCACCGCCCCAGATCACTACAACCAGTACTCTCCGGGTCACATGGACGACGTAACTTGTATCTGCGGCCAAGACAGGTGTAGTTTTTGTGTCACCTGGCACCAGCGGTGTTTGAATCCTCGCTGCATTGCAGGGTCAAGGAACGGTGCCCTACATTCGAGACTTACCTGTGTCGCAGGAGGAGGTCCTCCACGGCACCCGGGGGTGTCTACTGACGTCGGGCGGCATCGTCGAGGTCCAGCTCAGGCCAATCGGAAGGACAGCGGCGGCAGCACAGCAAACAGCCTGCCAAGAATTGCCGAGACGAACGATCCCGTTGTGCTCGTCCTGGCTAGGCTGGGGGTGAAGGGCGGCACCTTGCATTGCTTCGCAGCTCGGTCTGCGGCATCGCTGCCAATCGTGAAACACCTCTGCTCGACTGTGAAGTCAAGCGGTCTACAGCTTGAGCTTTTGACGTCGGGGACTTCCCGCCTGTAAGTGCAGCCGGTAGAGACAACAGTGCCATACTATTTCTTGCGATGAGAGAATCGGGTGGTCTTCGGTGCATGGTGGGTCCGCACGACTCCTTCGCAGTCCGCGGAACCCGGGGCGGGCCCTTCCAGGCAGTGGGCGATACCCGCGTAAACACTACAGTCGGGGCGTTGACCTAAGGAACCCTAAATAAGGAACGAGGCCCCTTTTTTCCAGAAGTTCAACTTCGATTTCCTATCGAGAACATCGGAAAACCTGAGGCAAGCTCTGGAACACTTAGGGAACGCGGAGCCCCTCCCCAACGAAAAGGGTTCCCTCTTCAGGGCCCCGACTGTATACCCCGCAGCCTTAGACGCTTGGGGAGAAGGCCACGCGTACGGCCCCCACAGAGGCGACTCCCCAGCCCGCCCGAGGCAGCTCCTTAATGATGTGGGGATGGGTCGCCGAGCCATCATTTTTCTGCTTCTTTCTGCGCCTCTCGCGGCGCTGGCCAAAGGCGAAGGGGCCCTGGGATACACAATTCCGCCGGCCCCCTTGTGGGGCCACCAGGCTGTAGGCGCGAGGTTCGCAGTTTCCTGTACCAATCGTAGGTTGTAGTTTCCAGTGTTACAGTTCTGCTTCATGCTGGTTACTGTAACTAGTTGATTGACCGCGCGAGGGGGGGAGAGGCCCAAACGTGATTTTTAGCACCCCCTGGGCGCGTTGTCTGAATTGCTGGGGGGGCTCGAAATCGACACCCCTCACGCAGATCCGCGGGGTCA